AAGGAGCGGGCCGCCGCCACCTTCAATCCGGAGCTGGTCACGCACATCTTGGATGGCAGTCCGGAGAACACCCGGCGCCGCCGGGAAATCGGTGAGGCCGAGGGCCAGGCCTCCCTCTTCCCCCGACCGAGGCGGAAGACCCCTGTGAAGCGGGGTCCCGGGAGTGAGGGGAAGCCGGGACGCCCTCGGTTCTAACCCGCTGGGATCCAGGGAGGGCGAGTGCTGTCTCTCTTGATGTGGTTTAACTCCCTTGCAGAGAACATTATCCTGAACGACCCGGACTTCCAGCACGAAGACTATAACTTCCTCACGCGCAGCCAGCGCTACGAGGTGGCTGTTAAGAAGAGTGCCACCATGGTGAAGAAGATGAGGGAGTTCGGCATCTCAGACCCTGAAGAAATCATGTGGTTTAAAAAGTAGGTGTGCCTTAGCACAGTAGTGCAAGCCCAGACTACAGCTGCCGTCTGGGGAGGCCTTTTTATCTTGCATGGTATTTGAGGGCTCAGACTGGACGTTTCATCAGTCAGTTTTATGTGTGAAAAATATTACTTTTGCATCTAAGGCCTTCAGTGGGATAGTGTGGCAGATTTGTAAAATGCTAATAATGGATATGCTCAGTTTTGTATCTTATTTTTTTTTAAAAGTTTAAGGGTTCCTGAGATGGCTACTCAGCGGGTAAAGGCTCTTGCCACCCAGCCTAATGGTCGGAGGTCAATTCCCAGGACCCACATTATAGAGAGTCACAGATTGTCCTCTGCCTTCAGTTCACTAGAGGTGGCTGTTGTGTGCCTCCCCCACAAACAGAATTAACCTCATCAGTGGTTGTGCACACCTTTAATTCCAGCGCTCAGGAGGCAGAGGCAGGATGATCTCTTGAGTTCAAGGCCAGCCTGGTCTACAGAGCCAGTTCTAGGACAGCCAGGGCTGTTACACTGAGAAACCTTGTCTCAGAAAAAAAGAAAGAAAGAAAGAATACACAACAAATAGTAATGAAAATTCTTTTGTTTCAAACATCCCAATGAGAGTTATTTAAATGCAAAATGAACTTGCACTTTGTAAAAGTGTCCTATGCCTGTTGCCAGGGGTGTGGCTCAGTGGGACACAGGTTGTCTAGTATTCACAAGGCCCTGGGTTTGCTTGTCAGCACTGAAGACAAGGGAAGAAAAAGGCCTCCTGATTTCTGAGAAATGTTGTGGTTAGGAAGCCAGACATTTAAATACCTTGGGATGGTAGCAGATGTTGTTGTTACATGATGTGTATTTTTGAGTATAAGATAATGGGTGACGAGAGAGTGGATGGAGACATGTCAGGTCTCAGAATGAATCTGATATTCTAAGAACCACATTCTAAGAACCCAGCATTGTTGGATGTTATGTAGCGTTCATTAATGGTTGTTCTGTGCATAAAACCTGCTGTAGTTCTCTTGCTGGAAAAGTGTCCTTGTCTCACTCATTCTGTTACACTTTGCTTTTCAATTATGCATAGAACTCCTTTTCCCCCTTAGCCACACATTTTGTGCCAACTCTGATGCTTCTACTTTACTTCTGGGTTTTTATATTGTAGAGGAACTCCAGCGTTTCCATCAATAAAGATAAAATTGGGGAGGCTGGAGACAGACCTCAATGATAGAGCCTGTGCCCAGCATGCATAATTAATTACCTAGGTACAATCCCTAGCATCACCAAATAAATAAATAAATTATGAAATAAAGGGGGCTGGATAGATGACTCAGCTGTTAAGAGCACTGGCTGCTCTTCCAGAGGTCCTAAGTTCAATTCCCAGCAACCACACAGTGGCTCACAGCCATCTGTAATGGGACCTGATGCCCTCTTCTGGTGTGCAGGCACACATGCAGATAGAGCATTCATATATATAAATAACTTAATTATTTTAAAAAATGAAATAAAGATTTGGACCATAAATATAGCTCACTTTGCCTGTTACTCTCCAGGTCCTAGGTTAAATCTACAGCACCTGAGCAAGAACAGAAAGTTCTGTTTTGTTTGGTTTTTTTGAGATAGGTTGACCTAGAATTTATTGTGTAGTCTAAGCTGGCGTCCAATTCGAAGTACTGCTCCGCCTCAGCCTCCTAAGTGCTGGAGTTATAGGTTCGAGCCACCCTACCCGACTTAAAGAGATTAAATTTTATTAAGAATGTTTTCAAGAGCCAATATAAATGATTACAAGCCTCGCCCCTGTGTGGAAATAGTTATTCCTCCTTTCTTTGTGTGTGGGTACAATGCAGTCAATATCTGCTTGTGACTTGATTCAGCCATTACTGGGATGATGAAATGGCTTGCTTTGCCCTTAAGTCCTTAGGACTCCATTCAGTCTTGCTAATCAGAAATATGCCGTGTGCCTGTAATCCTGGCACAAGGGAGCTGGAGGCAGGCCAAGGTCATCCTTATGTATCTATCCGGTTGGAGGACAGAATGACCTGCATTTAGACTTCTTTCGTGTTTAGTTTGGCAGTCCAAATCAGAATACTCACCAACTTCTAAATATTCACTCTCATGTCCAAAGCATGTAATTCGTGGGATTTTCAAGCACAATAAATCCTAGGAAAGAGTTATAAGATGGACTAAGTTGGGTTTACAAATTGAAAATTTCTAAGATTTTATACCTTCTCAAAGCAACATAAAAGAGAAGGGTTGCTGTTTTGTTCTGTAAGTGGGTGATACCAGGTGTTTCATAACCTGTGTTAATGTTCACTGTGCAGCCAGACTTAAGTGAGGTCGCAGAGGCCTGGACCAGAGTCCTTCCTGTGGGTCCAGCCTCCTGTTCAGATGAAATATTAATGACGTTTGAACACCCTGTGACAGGGAGATCGGTTTAAGTTAAAAGAGGCTGGAAGCTGGTCTTGGCAGTGACTGTGGTGTTAGGCCCTCTGTGAGCATGTATTCCCACTTGTATCTTGAATGCTGACTGTAACATCAGAATTTTATGTGCCACCAAGAAAAACTTTCATTATTCATTTTTGCCCCGTTTCTTATCACTTGTTGTAGATGGGTAATTTGCATACATGTAGACTTTGTGCAAGTACACCTAGTAATGCACTAGGTGTGTTAATGTACCTAGTAATAAAAATTTAGGAAAAAACCCAAAAACTTACTATTAATTGTAAAATACACTACATATGCTAATCAAGGAGGAGGGCTGGGATTGATGAAACAGGAGGGTTTCTAGGGATTTAGAGCATTCATGGGTCTTTTTGCTGTGTGTTTATTACTATTTTTTTCTTTTTTTTGTTTTTCAAAGCAGTTTCTCTGTGTAGCCTTGGCTGTCCTGGAACTCGCTCTGTAGACCAGGCTGGCCTTGAACTCAGAGAGATCCGCCTGCCTCTGCTTCCCTAGTCTTGCCCTACCAACACTCAGCTACTATTTCTTTTTAAGATGATCTTTTTTATGTCTTGTTTGGGGTTTTTCTTTCTTTCTTTTTTTTTTTTTTCTTAAGAATGTGTTGTTGGCTGGGCTTTGGTGGCGCACGCCTTTAATCCCAGCACTAGGGTGGCCTGGAACTCACTATGTAGACTAGGCTATCTTTGAACTCTCAGATATCTGTCTGCCTCTTGAGTAGTAAGCACATAGGATGATGCTGTCACACCCTGCTCTGTGTTAATGGACCTAGTAATTACATTTTCCAGTCTCAGAAGCCTTTTCAGTTCCCGTTTCTGGCTCCTCAGTTACACCTTATTCCTCAGAAATCCCTGTTTCCTTCCTCTTTACTCTCTCTGTCTCTCTGTCTTCTCTGGCATACTTACATGTACATGAGCGCTCATGTGGGTGAGGAAAAGGGAGGTGTGTGGTTTTAGTGGGACACGGAAGGCCTGTTGGGATGCTGTGCCAGTCTTGCCCTGGAGGGTGACTTTAGCGTTTGTCTGTCATCAGACTTTTAGTGCTTTAACTTCTCTTTCCATTCATGTTTTCTCTCCAGTTTCTCATCTGTTTTTTGCTTAATGGCCTCTTGGAAACTCAAAATCATCCTGCCTTAGCCTCCTCTTTTGCTGAGGAAACAGGCATGTGCTACACCAGCTTCCACCCAGTTTAGAATGATAGTTGGATATGATGTTATAGAAATCAGACAAAAGGCACAGCATTATTTGGGGCTTTATTATCGTCTCTGTGTCTAGTCAGTTATCTCATGGACATTTGGGCATTTGTTCCTAGCATATCTGAGAAGTGATTTATCTGTCTTGCTGGGCAGTGAACAGAGTGCCTTCTACATGCTAGACACCGGATCCTACCCCAGCTGCAGAGTGATCTCTCTGCTCTAACAACACAACTGAAACCATTGACATCGGAGCGAACGTTCGCTGAGCTTAACATTGCCCAGGACAGAGGACGAAGAAGTCCTCTCTTTGCAGATTATGTGATCACATTAGCTCATTTGGGTTGATTGGTGGTATCCGTCTCTGAGAGCATCCTTGCAGAGAGTGTCTCAGAGTAGCTGTGATGGATAGAAAGCAGAAGAGTCTGGCTGGTCTGTATGGTGTTATTTCTGTAGGCAGTAGGCAATTTCTGTGTTTGCTGTTGTTGTTGCTTTTAAGGTGGTGGCCCCTCTGTGGAGTGACAGTCTTCCTTTCCTACTGTAGTCCATGCTCTCCTCCTTGTGAAGCCCAAGGTCACCTCTGAGAAGACATCAAAGTCACTTAGGTGACACAGCATTTGTACTCCAAAGTTCTTTGGGTGCACACTGGGACAAAATGCAAAACAGACCCCTAGGAAGTCCATGGGAAGCACAGTCCTAACTGGTGTGCTCAGTCTGTGTTTTGTGGGTTCTGTTTGATGAGAAAGTGGTTGAGGGCTGGATTTCAGTGTCCTGTGCAGCTCCCTTAATCTGAAAGGATGGTCATTGGCCATTGGGGGCGATTTTTAAGCTGCTTACTTCATTTAGATACCCTGGAGACCTTTGGAGATCTGTGGTTCTACCCTGAAATACTTACTCATCCGGTTATTTCCTTAGGTCATGTAGGCAGAGACCATTTTACTATTCTTTTTTTTTTTTTTTTTTTTTTTAAACATGTTACAAGTTCATCCTATACTATTCTGCAGCAGAATGGAAATTGGCCATTTCTTTTTTTTTTTTTTTTAAATTGTTATTTATTTGCTTGCATTGGTGTTTTGCCTGAATGTATGTCTGCATGAAGGTGTCGGATCCTCTGGAACTTGAGTTATAGATGGTTGTGAGCCACCATGTGGGTGCTGGGAACTGAACCCAGGTCCTCTGGAAGAGCAGCCGGTGCTCTTAAGCACTAGCCATCTCTCCAGCCCCGACAGTCTACTATTGTTGATGCCAGGCATGGTGTTGAATGCCTGTAATCCCAGCACGTGGCCTAATGGATAAAGATTCCCAGGAGTTTGAGACTATTCTGAGCCACATAGTAAATTTTAGGTCAGCCAGGGTTATGTAGTAAGAG